GCACCTCCTTGCGTGCGCAGATCGACTGCTGTTCATCAGCAGTTCGGGTTCGTTCAGTGCGGAGTTTTAGGTTTTATTTTAATTTCCTCTCGCCTTTCATTTTAAAGTCAAATCAAACGAAGAAAACAATCCCCCCTTCCTCCGGAAAAGGTTCTTTGTCAGCTTAACCATTTTAAAAAAGCGTTCTTCCGCAATTTATTCCAAAACTTGCTAGTTTCACTTTGATTTTTTAAACTCAAGCAGGGTAACTCTGTTCGCAACGGGTGCGCTTTTTCGAAGAGGGCGCCACCGAATTTTGAGGACACTTTTTTAATTGGCTCAAAGACTGAAGTGGCCCCTCTTGTTATGTAGACTCTTTGACGAAACTAATGAAAATTAAACTTAGATCTATACAAGTCGCACACACTAAAATAGTGCTCAGTATTGCGCGACAATGCACGATGGTATCGAACGGAAGTACGACTTGAAATAAACAAACCTGGCGGATTTTCTAAAATTGTCTATCACATATGCTACACACCTGGAACAGGACCGAAACCTGCACCTCCCCTCGACATCCTAAGGATACCAGAAGAAGGAAAAGTAGAAAGTAAATAAGATATTTTTACACCGAAACCTGCACCTCCCCTCCACATCCTAAGGGTAACAGAGGAAGGAAAAAGTAAAAAGTAAGTAAGATATTTCTACACATATCGATATCGTATCGGAGCAGTGAGAAAAATATCGATATTTCGATATTTTGACATGCCCACCACTCAGCACCGCATTTCCAGGAATTAGCAGGCAGATTTTATGTTTTCCCCAACAATGAAACACACACAAAATTTATTTTTTTAAATTATTTTTTTTTAAAAAGAAGACAGCCGTGTTTCACGCATTAATATTGACCAGACTCGATAATTATCGATATATCAATATATTTGATGGCGAAATTCAATTTACTGATAATAATTTTGTAATATCGAAAAGATCGATATTTTTTGTGACAAAATATTGATATCGTATCGAATTCGATATTGCTGATATCGCCAATCACTAATAGCCATATTTCGGTCCTAAAAAATAGTCCATTAGCACATACAAGGATTATTCTGGCTCCACACACTCCTTAAACAAAAACACAATATGATAAAGAAAGTATATGGACACAAAAAACATTATTAAGATATTTTTTAATTTAAAAAATCAGTACAATGTCTTACAACTGAGGACTTTCAGACTGCTTGACATAATATGACACAGACCTTCACATTATTTCATCAAGGCAAATATTGATATTGTACAAGTCTCTCTCTTGACTTCATATTGGAAGGAAATAAATAGACAACAGAAAGTACTGTAAAGGGCTCACACACGCTCACACACACACACACACACACACACACACATGCACACACACACACACACGCGCACACACACACACACGCCCACACATCGACACACACACACACACCAAAACTGAAAAGCATATATACATGTATTTCTTAAGATAGCATGCAGTCTGACCGTAGCTTATAACCTCATGTACTCAATGCATACGATATTGAAATTCAGAAATAGAACATTCTACACACAAAAAATTTTAAGCCAAATTTTTTTTTTAAACCACGCAAAATAAATCTAGTAAGGAAGCCACAGAGGACAACATATCAACAAAGGAAAGAGTCTTCAGCTTTTCTGTCTCCGCCTGTGAATGGAGAGCACACTTACATTATGGATACAGTAACTGAAGGGCTTCTACAGAACTGTCTTTACACTTCTGTAATTTCAGATTTACAGTACTGAGCATTGCTTCCTACTTCAGCAGTTAGCAATTTGACACTCGATCCAAGTATTTTGATAACCTCTTTTTTCTTGGGTTTCCTTATTTTATTCAGAGCACGATCTCCCCTGCCAAAAGCCACACGCCACACAATGCAGGTAAAATTTGCTCCAATATTACACCCTTTTGAAGCCTTTCTCCACTGCAACACTCTATTACAACTTATTCTGGTAGGTGTCCCTATTTTTTCTGAAAACAAAACACACACCGGTTATAGTATGAAGGGCACACAAAGAAGTTGTTCAAATACAAGCATAATAATACAATAACAATGTGCCTCTAGCAGCAATGCCACCTTGTACACTGCATTTGGCTACTATTGCTCAATGTCAGTTGTATTGCCGAGTAGGGAAACTGGTAGCAACAGTGATGCAGTGAAAAGGAAAACACACAATCAGGCCTTATGAAAAAGGGCATGGTTTGGTATCATTATTTATAACACTCCTTTCAACAAGGTCGGGCTACTCATCCAAGAACCTCCAATTTAACACTATTCAGCTACAGCAACAAACAACTGTTTTGACAATTCCTCACGCAACAAAGAAACGCATTCACCTTTGGCCTTACAAGTATCATATTTACCTGAATCAGTGACAGGCAAAAAAAAAGGGAGAAAAAAAAAACCCAACAAAGTACCAAAAAAAGCACTAAATAGTAACAAATACAAAAATCTCTGCCTGAATGCACACAAGCAAACTTACACCATTGATATTTCATCTAAAAAATCGTATGCATAAACTAAACACTGTCACTTCTATATTGATCATCCAAAACTCAACAACAGCCAAAGCAGATAGGAGGGAGCATCTAAAAAAAGACCTAGATTTAGAGTTATACATGTCAAAGGTAGAAAGTAGAAAGACGTCAAATCTGGCTTCAAAGAATGCCTGGAAAATAATAACCCTCCCTAGAACAAACCCCCATCCACATTCAGAAACAAAACTGCACATTTCAGCCTCTTTTGAGTACTCAAGAGTATCAATGTTAGGAACACTTCATGCAGATAACTGAATTAGTGATGGCTTTAACATTTCATGAAAAAGTCCTCCGCGTAAAATAGGAGTTTAGTGGTTTTTAGAAATTGCATTAAAGAGTATGATGCTTAGAGCTGTGAGATGGGGACACACCCCTTTAAAAGCTAGACAAAAACAGCAGTTATCCCTTGAAAGGAAAAAAGACTAAAAATAAAACAACAACAAAACAAAACAAAGAAAGAAAAGAAAGTCAGTTTAGATGTTAAGTTTGCAAGTTGAATAAAAAGGATAATAGATTTTCAGCTGTAAGTATTTTATACATGAAACGATACACAACTTCTAAAAAATACAGTTTAACCTCGAGAGATGAGAACAACCCATACTTCTCAACAAATGAGAATAATGAAGAAGCAGCCAGTGCCATTTTATATTCCTTGAGGAAATTAAAATTTAAAAAATAGTTGTATCTCTACAAACTGTACTATAAACATAATGATCCCTGATCCAAAAACATGGACTGGACTGGGTATGGCAGAATAAGCAATAGCACCTCACGACCGTGAAGGACGGAGGGTCATTACGCGTCAGAGATGATACCTCCAGATATCCCTGTTACTAAAATTAATACAGACAGCAAAAATATTCTTTATGTCAATGTCGACACTAACAGGAAACAAACTGCAAGCATGGTGCAGATTCCACCTAGTACCTTATTTGTCGACACAATTTAATGGTGTTGTTTTCATTCACGCTGTTTGTCGGGGAGGGGGTTAAAACCTGAAGTAGATAACCAAGTCCCAGTTCATTTTCTTTAATCTAAATCTTATCAACTATTGGATACAACGATGGCCCCCTACATCATTCTTTTCTTTATCAAAATTTGGTACTATTCAAATGCATCTTTCCACTCTCTGGCTTTCTCACACAATAGTCTGAACTACAAAGGCTTCTACATTACTAGTAAAAAAAACCCAGCGTGTAAACTTATACTCAACTTTCAAAACTATACTCAACTCAACTAGGTTCCCTCTGATCCAAATGAGAAACAAGAGATTGTTCTGTACCACACACTTACGAAGGCTCAACAACATAAAAATATTAGAAACCCTGGTTCCTTCTCCTGAAGCAGCTTCAATACTGACTCTACTTATAAAAAAAAATCTTATGAATTATGTCCAACTCCTTAACAGCACAGCATGCTCACCCACATCCACACAAAAACACAAAGAAAACGACTTGCCCTGAATGATCGACTCAAAAGTTAACCCCTTGTCTGCTCTGTGGGCGTACCTGGTACACCGGAAAAACCCGTTTTGTTTCGTCCATGACTCCGCTTCTACAGCTTTGAATAACAAGAATTTAATCCCTTTATTCTCTGTCCACTTGCCGAAGCGATCAAGTCTATTTTTTGGCTATTAGTCCCAGAATTTGCATGTAGTAGCTAAAACAAAGAGACATGGTGTGTAGTGTGTTTTGCGCAAACGCCGAAGTCAGTCTGCCTCTCTGAGATTTTTGCGTGCAATCTACATTCGCCACAATGGCTTCGAAAAGGTTGAGTAAATCTACGGATCTGGTTATTGCAGAAATTTATCGCGATGCCGACAGTGGTGACGAAGATTTCAATTCATCTAAGAAACTGTTTGTCATAGATCTAATCTCCAAGATGACAGGGATCTCGAATAAGGAGATGGAATTTTTAAAAATTTTACCAGCCAAATTCTTCTACAGAATTGTTATACCTAAAAATGAGTAACACCAATGGATTGTATGTTCATTTTTCCTTTATTCGACATATACTTTGCTATACCTAGTCCTTATAGTAAGCGAACTATAGCCATTCAAAAAGCAGACCGTGTCATATACAGCCACTGTGGAAATTTCCTTAGAACATGCGGTGGACTTATGATTAGCAGTCAAGGGGTTAATGGCTCTTCAAAAAAAATAATTTTGGTTTTGCTGCACTAGCAAAGTCTGCATACAGTCATACGAGTGCGTTGGACACACTTAGTATTTTCAGTTTGATATGAATTAATATCGAATTTTGCCCGGGTGGAGGCCGAAGCCTACTCTTATTGGTTTTAGGACCAACATGGAATCTTTAACATGGTGCAACTTGCACATGGGGACCTCCAAGATTTTTTCGCCCTTATTGGAGAAGGCTAGGTGTTAGATCTTACCTCCCTGAGATCAGGGGTGTGGCTGAAAGACAGCAGAAAGAAGGGCCCAAGGAGTAGCGGTTGAAAGGCTGCAAAAAGAGTCAAGAGCCCAGAGGAGGGGGGACAGAATGTGGAGACAAAAAAAGTGACAGACTATGGTTTGAAAGCAGGAAAGGGGGTGAAAGGAGACAATTTTAGAGAAAAAAAATGATGCGTCTCTGTCAGGCTTCAAACTCGGGACCTATGAAATGAGAGGCAAATACCGTACCTCTAGGCCACGAAAGCCCGGTGAATGGCTCTGAAAAGACCTGTCGGACTGGGCTGAAAGTCATTCTGAGACATCACTAAAATCAAGAGAAAATTTCATTATCTTTGTAATGAATATTATGAAAAGATAAATCCTGCACCATCAGCATTTCTAGCCTCCTACTTCAAAGCTTTGCCACCGCATTTTGTCATTTCTAAATGTGATGTATAAGATTAAATAATTACATGTCAAAAATATCTTGTGAGAGTACATAAATATGGATATGACAGGGGATGTCATCCTGTTTCTTCAGGCCTTCAAAAAAAATCTCTGTGTAAATAGTTAGCAATCTTAACAGGAAAATACCTCACAAACAGCAAGTTTGTTGAAAAAAAAAAAAACATGCTTTCACATTTCCTCCAGTCCACACTGGAAATAAAACTGAGGGTTAACTGAGGGCAGCTCACAAAGCAGAGCAAAGGGAACTAAGGCATCAACCACATCAAATAGGTCATGCCCTCACATTTTCTCTCTTGTTGGACTTTAAATAATAGAACACAACTTATTCATAAGTATTAATATGTTCCGAGGAATACAAAGTAAACAGGTGGTTTATTTACTGTGAATGGATAACCTAAGTGATTAACTATACGGGTTAAGGGCTTGGTCATCTTCCTTTCATCACAAAGGCATGGTAAAAATATAAATAATTAATTTAGTCTTCTCTAACTTGATGCACACAAATGGACAAACATACTTCACATTTAATTTACACATCTTAGCAAAAAAGTGATTTCCTTAGTGACATGAGCTAATAGAGAATTATTAACAACATCTGTACATCAAAAATGGTGAGTGCTCCACTTTGTTTCAAAGACAAGAGAGAAAAAAAAGATCTATTACATTCCCTAATATTAATACAGGATTGGGAACTTCAGCAGAGGCCGTGTGGTTTGTCTACACAGGTTCATAAAGAGAAACACTCAACATTCACACAATTGTTCTATGAATGTTCACTGGGGAGTGTCCTCAAGCAAGACAAGTTCAAATCCCTCCCTCAAAAATAAGGTGCAACACAGAGGCAACCAGCAATGGTACAATATTGTCAGAAATAACTCAATACAAATTACTGTCACTTCTCCTTTACTGTTACTTCTCCTTTATGTTCTGAAAAAACCAACTCACTTTGTCCTTCTACACTGAAGGGAAGATGTTGTCATTTCCTTACACTGAAGCACAGCTATCAATCCACCATCAATTATCAGAAACAAATATTTAACCAGTGTACCATCTCATCATAACAGTGAGCTATAAAAACTGTCTTTTGGGTCACCCCCTCATGTAGAGCAGCAGAAAGCAATGAGGACAACTCACGTAGAGTATGAAGTAAAATCTTTGCCTACCACCAGTGAGAGAAAGCAGAAGCAGAGGAGCAATTAAAATTTCTCCTCTTCCTGAGGGTGCTACTGCCACCTAAAGTAAGGGAGGCTGCACACTTATATTTTTTAGGAAAAGTGCTCCATGACACTATTTGCAATTCTGGCACAAAAAAGCAAAAGGTCCATGTAGTTACAATCATGCTCTGAGCATGGTGGTGAATGAGACAGAAGGAGCTCAGTAAAACAGTCCTGCATAGTTGCCGTACAAGCCAGCAGGAAGGGGGCCCCCAGCAGCAAAAATGCGAGCCCGCGCCTCGTCGTAGCAATGTGTATAGATCGCATTGGGATAGTAGCCGTGCAGGAAATGATCCCTGTAGTTGGAGTCGTTTCTCTATGGAAAAATAAATACCAGCCAAACATCAGTCAGTACATGAAACGCACAAAAAACACTTAAAGTCATTCAAAGACAACAGAAATATATGCTCCTTTTGAATTTTAAAATAAGTACAGTAGTCCACACCATACAAACGCACGCTCCACTAAAACGCACACTTTCACCATAAGATGTTTTTTAACTATATAATTTACATATACAAATACACAGTCATTACCTCAAAATATATGCATTGATTCGTGAAACAGGCCAACAGGTAAACCTTGACAAAGGGACATTTTTTATACAACCTACACAGCTAGCTATAAAACAAGTCTAGACGAATGAATATTTGGCGAGACTATCCCTCGCGCAGAACAAAGAGAGCGATGGAGAGAGTAGTCAACCCACCCTACTGTCCACAATCACATAGGTCTACAGCTGGGAGAGCAATATGTATGTCACGACTCGGTGGAATCGTCAATTTTTGGCCATGCAAAGTTATTGGTATCACCGTAAAGTATGTTCATATACCTATCTTTTTCAATGAAAAAAACCCAATCTATACTGAATAGAAGTCGAGATATTTGAGATTGAAGGAGGTGGGGATAACCTGGCTTCAGAAGTAAAATTAATAAGAAAATGGGCGCCAAATTTTGGTGATTTATATGGCTTGAGAGTCCTTGGAAACTGAAAATCTACATTTTTTGTGCCTTTAATCAACAGATTTCAGAGGATTCCACACATATAAATTATAATAACTATGTTTTTAATGGGAGGAGTGACCCTTGAGGACATTTTCTATGTCTGTTGTCTGAGATCAAGTCTAAGTGCACATATAAGTTAGACATAGTAGGTACCAGAAACTAAATTTTCAAAGCAGCTGTATGCCAAATTTATCAGTTCCATTTGAAAGGCCTATATCCACTGAGCATTTTGGTACAATTCTTTAACCTCTCAGTTAATTTTTAAGAAAATGGTAGTTGTTTAAAATTTGATCAAATTTGTTAAAGTCAGTCACTGGCTGCAACCCCATGTTTGACAGACAATAAAAGAGTACCAAGAGCACTAAACATCTCCACATTAACAGAGTACAATCACTATAACAAATATATGGAGCCTAATTTTTTTCAAGACTGTGAGATCATTACAAATCAGTACTTTATCGCCTCAAACACGATGATCTGTCGTTATTTCGACAAAAACACCGAGCGTTGACCCGGCTGGCGCCACACCGGGCCCCGCGGCGAGCGAGTCGGCTCTATACTGTAGTGTACCCCGCGTGCGGGGTCACATGCTTTCTGAGTCCCGCGGAAGGATTGATGAAAAATAATTCCAAGCTGATTACTTTATTCTAATAGGAAATAAGCTGATCTTTTATTAGATATATTTTTTAAGCCGGTATTTTACATATTATGGGTAAAAAGTCATCTTTAAGCATTTTGACAGTATTTTTAAAAGCTTTCTATTTAGACGCCAAAAGCAAAACACATACCACGGGAAAGCCCGTATAAAGCTCTACAGTTCTCCGCCAATGAAAAGACGGTATTTAATCATTCCTCGTTCCGCGAAGCATTTCAATGCACCCGTGTCAATTTTTCAACCGGCCGACCACGAGGGGCTTCGCTTTCGTCGGTGATTCTCCAGCTCCTACTAATCGGACATAAAAACAACTTACACCATTGTAACGAGGAAAAGCTGAACTTTTACAAGGTGTACGCCAGTGCCCGCGAGGCCGTGTTTACGCTACCTAGACATAGGAAAATCTCTTGACACGCAATTTTATTTTAGCATAGCTGCAGCGGTTGCTATGGAAACAGCAGCCATCTTGAAAATAAACAGTGAATTTCAAACCCCTACGGCTTTCTTATTTAATGACCAAATTTGACCAAATATCGTGAGAGTATACCTGAACCAGACCCTATCAGCGTAACAGCGAGTTTTTTTTGTAATAAGTGCAAAAGAAGGAAAAAAGAGAATTTTCCCAAAGTACAAAAAACCTTTTCTAAATTTAGTTTGCCAATGGAAAAGTGTTATTTTTTTCGCAAATATCTCTCTCTCTCTCTCTCTCTTTTACATTGATGGCAGCCTTGCCATCTATGTTTCCTGAAAGTTTCATGTCAAAAGGATGAAAACTAAGGAATGAGAATTTTTTTTAAAACGACAATTATTGTGAAAATTCACTATATTAACCCACCCTCATGTTTTCAAAGGCAATTTACGAGGAGAATAAAGACTTTCTCAATTGTTTCCTTGCTAGTTTTAGACAAAGAACTGGTTGATCTTCAAAAATCAGCCAACATCTCAATGTACACAGCCTGACCCAAAATCGGCAAAATCAAGGGTCCTCTTCCCCTTAAAAGGGCATAAAAAGTGTTTTACTATTCACTCGAAATGCATTTTTGAGAGAAAGTTTCTCATTGGTGTTTGGGCAACTGTAATGTTTAGTTAGGTCTGTGAATATGATGCACAACACACACAAATACTGTAGAACACTAGATAGGCCTATAGGACTAAAGATTAGTCAAGTGATCAGCTGAGCTCAAAGAAACTTTGACTTACATATATATATAGCAAAAACTTTTGCTAATTCAAAGAACAAAAATTCTCATAAGACAAAGGTTCCTGCTCTCATACATATACTATCTGGAAGTATCAAGGCATTCTGCCGCTTTGCTTAAAAAGAAAAATAACTTTCATTTAAAGCCAAAACGATCAACAAGACTAATGTGATAAATTAAGGGAAAGGTAAATATTATTCCTCATGAATAGCCATTGAGCACACCACTTAAGACGGATTACATAAAATTTCCTCCTGTCTTGTTTCTGGTCTTAACGAGTCCCTCCTTCATCACTTGAAGTGTGTGATAAACACTCCCAAGAGATGTCTAGATAGTAAAAAGAATGGATATCATGCGCATTTTAGAGCAAGAAGTTTTAGTTTTAGTAAGGTTTTATGGCGCTCGCACTGCATAAGGTCATATGAGCGCCAAGGTGTGGATGTCAACAGAGAAGTACAAACGGGGAATGAGGCTTTGCTCACCTCTCTAGCCTCAACAGCACAAAGTCTGCTTCGACTATCAAGGCACCCCAGAAATAGTCTTCACAAGAGAGTGACAAACATACAAAAGAAGTAGAGAAAAAATGACGATAGTCAAGGATGAGGAAAGAAAAATCAGCAGTTCCCCCTATGTTAGTGCGGTACTGTTTGAGCATGACATTGATAAATCAGCCCATTTACAATTCTACTGTGTATAAGAACATGTTGATAACCCCCCTTACGGATTGGCCTAAAGACACTTCAGTCAGTAGCACTGCCCGGGGGGGTTTAGAGCAAGAGAGTATCAGTGAAAATGTTTGGGACTGTAGAACAAGTAGTTAGAGATAGCAAGGAGAGGTTCTAGATGCAGTCACCAGTTGTCATGGCGTTATAGCATATTATTGGAGGGACCAAAAGTGAGTTAATTGTCTGAAAATATTGCCTTCAAAGGCTGCCTACTCTTTCCAGTTGCAGCAACAAAGCAGTAACTGAAGATACCTATGCCAGAGTATTAAGTATAGAACTTGCCAAAACTATATGTAAATTGAAACTAATTGAGGCACACAGGATTTGAAATAAGGGCTGCTAGTGTAGAATAGCATGGGCAAATAAGATTCGGAATATCAGAGGCACATAAGCTTTAAAATTCGCATGTTACTCCACAATTAGTACAAACCAGGCAACATTCTAGAAAGGAAAACCATATCTTGTTGAATATGCATAGGCCATAAAAAAAAGTATTGTACAAGGGACAGGCAGTTTCAGCAACGCCTCCCTGCCCCCTGAAAAACAAACTCACCAGCCAACCTTCCCCTACTTGCAATTCACAGTGCTTCCCGTCCATCTGTAACAGGAACTTGTTGTTCTTCATGTCGAAGAAAAGGAGCCTTCCATCACCAGTGCCAATGGTGATGATATTTTCATTGAAGCTCAGAGAACGAATACCTGCACCAAATAGACAAGTCTGATGAATCCAAAATCCATTAAGCAAAAAATAAGAGGTATTTTTAGCAGTACTGCCCAGAATTTTTAAAAAACGTTAAGTATATATTGTATGGTTTTGACATCCCCTTTAACACTTTGTCGTCATATCTCGCGGATCGGCGATATTTACTGCCCAGTTTATTTCGTCTATTTACCCTTGCACAAAATCAGCAACAAAAAAGCTAACCAAAAAACAAACCAACAAAACAACAACACAAAATCCCCTTCTTACACCACCCCCCTTTAAAAAGAAAACAAAAACTCTTTTGAATTAGTCTTAGGGCAGTCCCAATCCTGAGATCAGCCCCAGTTTTGGACCTCAGAAGGGAATGATTTGGTTTCATTTTGATCAGTCCTGCCTAAGACAGCCATCTGTGTTATACAGCCACTTTTCTCTGTATAAGACAGGCAGCCGTCTTAGGCAGGAATGATCAAAATGAAGAAAACAAACCATTCCTTTGTTATTGTTGTTGCTGTTTTCGCTGGGGGGTTTTGGGGGGTTTTTTGTTGCTGCTTTTGCGTAAGGGTGACAATAAAACAAAATGTGTCAGACAAGGAGGACCGAGTGCTGTGGTAAAACAAACACATGGGTCGCCACCACTCGGACAAGTGACGCTTCTGTCACAAGTTCATGTTGATGTTCATTGTTACTTTGTTACAGACGGGTGAACAGTGACCACTCATCTCACTTACGATTTGTTTATGTGTTCTGGGGGGGGACTTTCGGGTTATGAGGGATCACACGCTTACCTCCCGCGCAGCTGAAAATTTGTTACCTATTGGTCAACAGTGGGAGGGGCCTACCCAACATGATTGGTTGGAGGGACTACCTAACAACAAACAGGTGACTGAATTATGACAGCTCACCCACAACACCAGGGGCCAATGCACCATTTAGGACAAAACGTAATGGAGTCGCTAAGGTGGCCGTCTAAGACAGGTGTTAACACTTGGTGTGATAGGGGTTGTGTGCTAAAATATGGTGGCCGCGGCTGCGTTGGACAGGGGGGCGTTGGACAGGTGGCCGTTTTACAGTTAAATGATATAGAAAAAACGCAAGGGGGGAAAAGGAAAGTGGCCGTTTGTACAGGTGACCGTCTTATAGAGGTGGCCGTTAGGGGAGGTTCCACTGTACTGGCTATTTTACTTATACAACAGCTGAGAAATAAGTCAACCAAGTCAAGACTTCTCATACCTCTCTCTGCACCTCGTTCTCTGAACCTTGGTGGGATTTGCAAGCTTCGGCACTTGGCACTGGGTTTCAGTCTATGGTCCACCAATGTGACGTAGGCCTCAGAACCCACTGCAAACACACCAAGCTCATCTGAACTGGCCACACACACATTTTCTCGTCTCCAAGGAAGATCCAACGTCTCAAGCTGTAAAAGGATGAACAAATTTTTAAAAAAACAACAGATAAAAAGCAATTCACAAAATATTGTTCAAAAGCATACTCAGGTAAATTCAATGCCTTCACGTATATTAGGGAAGGCTGATATATATATATATATATATATATATATATATATATTATATATATATATATATATCATTGTGGGCTTCATATTTTACCAATGATAAACTGAAGAATAGTAGGACCTGTCCAAGACGGCCATGTACAGGTCAAGTAGAAAAATGGTCATCTTAGGAAGGTGGTTCTCCTGGAGAGTGTTATTATAAAATACTTTAAAATGTAAGGGGAGAGTGGAAAGTGGTCATTTGTACTGGTGATTGTGATATCAGGGTATTCGTCAAAGCAATTCGACTGTATATAGATGGCAACAAAATCCGATCCCTTATACAAGAAATCTATCGAAAAGCATTGCTTGGTAAGCGAAAGCGCCAGAAAGCGCCAAAAAAACCCAACTTCATAAAAAGAATCTTATTTACTTTGGATCACTGTTCTCATAATACATACTTGTTCTAATAAATTTCAAAAGTGGAAACTCTTTTTTAAATTTTTTTAACAGTATAACGGTTAATGCAGCATAGATAAATCTTGTAGGCGCAGAAAATTAGAGGTGTTACAAGAGAGAAACATACAAAGAATAGAAAGAGGAGGGATCAATTAAGTTTTAGTATGAGTTTTACAAAACTTGCAACTGGTCAACATAAATGCAGACCTGCCACTCTATGAAATCTAAAAATCAGGATTTTAGAGTTTAAAAAATCAGGATCTGGTGAAAAAAATCGGGATCAACGGCAAATCAGTCATAAGGGGCACTGGGGAAAGGGGGGGGGGGGTCCTGTTTCCCTTTTATGAGGCAAGTATGCAAGACAAAACTTTTGCAGGGATAAGTTCACGTTTGGGCCTCTAAATAGAGAGAAAAGTGAAAGACAGCATACGTACTCGAGTCGGAGTTAGATAGACTGGGGGAGCACAGGTTGCAGTAATGCTGAAACTCTCGTAGATTTGAAAATAGCTCACACATAACTCTAATCATCCATGCTAAAAGCCCGTGTTTTCATACACAAACAACGTTTGACTTCCATCGTATATACACTCAAGCCCCCCCCCCCCCCCGAAAAAAGATCGCGCCAAGGCTGTTCATTTATTTCTTTTTTCTTATTCCTTTATCCTCAATTAGTACCTGTATCACGGCACGCACAGCCCAAGTGTCAAAACAATACCCCCCCCCCCCCCCCGGTCGTCCCACACTGGTTAAGTCCCGAAAAACACCTCGACCAATGCGACCGGTGTGAACGAACTTTGTTGACCCCGACAACCGACGGTCATTGTGTTGCAAGTGCCGTAAAACTCCTACTAAAAAAACAACCGACGGTCCCCGACACACGCGCTACTCACACGCACGATGCCATGTCACATGATGCGAATGAGCGTTTGAAAGTTCCACTGACAGGTCTTGATGATGGGCCCGACTAACCAGAACTCAGACGAAGCTTGCCTTTAAAGCAACGGCAGAACAACGAATAGATTATTCCTAGGCCCATGCCATAATTGTTACAGAAATCAGGACACAGTCGGAGAATTCTCGGTTATAAAAGCGAAAGTAGATCTTGAGCGTATCCATGTCGGAATTCAAAATCGATACTACGTCGGTTTAAGTTGAAATAACGTGTGTGAGTCAACTACTAGATTCGGTTTAGATGCTTTAGAAAGTAGGGTTCAAAGTTCCTGCCGATAAAAAGTCTAATCGGTGCTCCCAAGCAAAACAGATTGCAAAACTTTTTTTTTCTTCTAAGAATCGGACGCAACAGACGCAACGACAAAAAATCAGGATACTGGCGATCGAAATCGGGAAAATCGGGATGCTTGAGATTTGGGACCAAAAATCGGTATATCCTAAATCGGGATGAGTGGTAGGTCTGTAAATGGGTCATACAAGTGCCAAAGATTAGATGTGTTACAAGAGAGTAACATACAAAGAGAAGGAGGAGAGATAAGGATGATAAAAAGGAGACAACCATACCAGAGCACCCGGCAACCACCCACAAGGCCAGGTAAAGACGATGTTCAATAAGAAAGGAGTAAGCAATACCAGAGCCCCTGCTAACCTCCCAAGAGGAGAGATAAAGATGATATATATTCGATAGGAAAGAAGGATTGAACCACACCAAAGCACTCGCCAACCACCCATAAACCCTTTTAGTTTTTAGTTTTAGTACAGGTTTTTCGGCGCTCGCAACTGCATAAGGTTTATATGAGCTCAAGGGGTGGATGTCAACAGAGAAGTCCTTACAGGGAATTAGACTTACTCTGCTCACCTCTCTAGCTTCAACAGCACAAAGTCTGCTTCGACTATCAAGGCATCCCGGAAACAGTGTGACAAGAGTGTGACAAACAATCAAAAGACAGAGATGCCAACCACAGAAAACCGAAATGAGTATTGGGAAATATGAAAATGTGTATTTTCAGGGGAAAATGTGTATTCCCCACGACCGACCGACCGACCAACTAGTAATAGTAAAATATTTCCTGAAAAAAAATTACTAGATCTAGAATCTAGATCTAGCTCACCAGCTTGAAAAAGGGAGCACACACACGCACAATATACATGTATCCAGTCAACAAAATGTCAGTGTTCAGTGTCGTACTGGGGTCTTGTTTGACTTAAATATTTCAGTCTATTATACCGGTAATATTTTTCTCTCATTATTACCGTATGTAAAAAATAAATCCTGCTTTGAGAGTTCGGAGGGGCCTAGAACAAAAATTTCGACAACCAAGAACCAGTCTGGGTGTCATGATTCATATTATGAACTGACAGACTCAAATTATTGCTCAAACTCAGAGAAAAGCGATAACTTGAAAGACTCAAGTAGACCCCTGCACTGTGAGAGTTGTAATAACTGTGGTAGGGCAAGATGTAGTGACAGTGAAAATCTACCAGTCTTGAACAGAAAACCACAACACACACTGTAGGCTAGGTATAATTTACTATCACCCATCCAATGAAACGCGAACACATTATTTCAATAACACAGACTTGCAAAGTTTGAAGGGTCCCGATTCCGCACACGGCCTGCACCAACGCGCGCTTTGCAGAAAGCTCTAATCAAAATTTTGAAATGTGCCTCCAAGTTCTTGTCCTCTGGTGTTGCCTTCACACCCTCCCCCATAATATCTTAAACCCCCCAAAAATCAATAATCTCCTCCCCTATTCCGTAGTCCTATACTTCGCAAGGCCGTTACTCCCACCAAAGACGGTCTTTGCTCACACGAAGCCGCATTTATTTATGACACGAATGCGCGCAGGTTCAGTGACCGGTCACGATGGCAAGCCAGACAATCTAAAAATCGGACGACGCTTGTATTTTATTTTCTTTTTTTCCACAAGTGACAGCACAGAGGCGAGTCCGAGCATTGATTAAATTTTATTTGCACGGCGACCTTGCGTTTATACTGCACAACCTACATGTCACAAAAGTTGTGTTATCAGACAACTGCTGGCAAACTTCTTGGTGGTAGCGAAAGCGAAAGTAGATCTTGATTTTCCCGATCGAGCCTCGGTGTCACATACGCTTCCGCCTGCCGCCATAGCTGCCTATTCGCTTGAAAGTGAAACGTACTCTCCGGACCGGGAGAAGCTGAACGAATATAATATCACGATCGCGACCGGCAAAAATAAACTTACTAACCACATCGGACTTGGTTTTCAAATACTCCAGTTTTGCAATACTGATACTGTTTTGACAAAAGAAGGGACTTGAGATAATTACGTTTACTCGCCCAAGCTGAATCTCGTATTTTTCGCATTCCAGGATGCGTATTTTTTCATGAAAAGTCGTATTCGCGTATTTTCGGCAAAAAATCGTACTAAAATACGTAAAATCGTACTGGTTGGCATCTCTGAAAAGAAGTAGAGGAAAAATGACAATAGTAAGGACTATGAAAGAAAAAGCAGCAGTTCCCTGTTGTAGACCAGACACAGCTATGAGCGTGACATTGATGAATCAGCATATTTATAATTCTACTGTGCATGAACGAGAAATGTCACCCCTTTTTGGGAATGGCCTAAAGACGTCAGTGGCACCTCCCCTTTAATAAATTCCAATTACATTATTGTCAAAAAACACACAATTGAAAATTGCAAATGCACTTAAGAATTGCAGATGAGAGAATATGATCCTGCAGCCGGACACTCACTAAATAGGGAAAAAATTCCTTAGCTGCTATCAAGACAAGCACATCATGTAGGGACTGCTCACAGGAACTGCTCAGTGTTAATTTTAAAAATTGTATAGCAATGCCTACACATCCAGACAAAACCTTTTCTTTGATTTAAGAAACAAAGGAAAGCAATATATGACATAAGGAGGCTTTTGGAACACATTCATCATTACAAAGAGGCGAAAATTAATACTAATGCTGGTGAAACATACGGGAGGAGAACTAGAAAAGAAAGTTAAGGCTCTACTACAGACAAAACCATCCACAAAAATCCTTTTCCTCTTTCCCTATTTGAAGAATGAACAAAACTCTATGACTCAATATAATATAGCATACATAAGTATCAAAGGAGTCAGAATCATCATCATCCAGTGCCAGATCTGCAACAGACATCGGCGATCATGGATTTCTATTCATTCCTTTGCTTGGATACTCTCAAAAAAGCTACGTTTCCCTGATCTTTCCATGTTACCCATTTGTTTAGGTTCCGTAAGTATGTTGTTAAATGTAACATCTCGTTTTATTCATAACCCCTCATCTTACACTGCCCAAGGCCTCGTATAACAAACATATTGCAATAGGAAATGAAGACATTATCGAGAAAATAAAGGAAAATGCAGCTGGCTAATAACATTTTTAAAACTTCTTTAAGGAAAGATGCATGTTTCAAGCAATTTTGTCCCACATATCAATGAGCTTCTTTTAAAAGGACTACGGTTCTGAGAAAACCCAAGTGGTCTTTTTCTTGTCATGCCTGAAACAGTGTTAGCTGTAATCAATTAAACCATTTAAAACATTACAGACACTGAAGCATAGAACTCCAGTGCAAAACACAGGGATGCCACTCAACCTTTTTTTATTTAAATAGTTGAAAATCCACAAGCCACGGTCTATGTCATATATGAATATCAATTTGAAACCCAAAGGGTAGTGTACATAGAGTGGGGTTTTTTGGGTTTTTTTAAAAAACTAAAGATTCTATCTCAACCTCAATAATGGAATAGCGGATCAGGATCAAAATACCGGAAATACCTACAGGAAAAAAGCGGAAAGTGGCATCCCTGAGAACAGTTCGCGCTTTTTTTCCCCTTCATTTTAAAAATTGACTTATACAAAACACTCGTACATGTTCTTAACACAATTCATACTGCACATGGTGATTACTCGTGCTTATAATTCATCCCTGGCTGCCCCCACACACTGGCATTCCCTATTCAAAATGATTCCTTTGAAAAGACAAATGTTACACTTCACCAGTGGCTTTCCCTTAAAAAATTACGGTGGGAGAGTACTCAAAGATAATCTAACACTTGTTGACAAACTGTTTCATCGTTCATTTGAAAGTTTGTCAGTTGGTTGAATAGTATGAACGATGGAAAACAATCCTACCCAATCGAAATGTGTAATCTTATTATGGATAGGGACAGAGAAGAAGAAGCTGTTTAAGGGAAAAAGAATGAAATTATTGTTCAGATATACAGATCTAGTGATGAATATGAAAGTTAGACATTGTTTCTTCTACTAAGTACTCCTGCAAAGACACACAGTACTTGTGAGAGTGCCAGGTGGTGGTGAAAGAGAGCGTAGATTAGTTTAGTTTTAGTAAGAGTTTTACGACACTTGCAACACAATAAGGTCATATAAGTGCCGAAGATTAGAGGTGTTACAAGAGAGTAACAAACACAAAAAAGGAGGAGAGAGAAGGAAGATAGTTTTTGATAGGAAAGAAGGAGCAAACCACGTCAGAGCACCTGCCAACCACCCACAGAGCATAGTTGTGAACATGGTCAAACAAAGACAGTGAAAATGGTGCACTGAGAAGAATCTGACGAATTATAGACAAGGACTGAAAGCAATTTCACAAATAAATTTAAGTGCCACTTTGCACTGGTTGCTCTAGTACACAAATTTTAGCTTAAAAGATCCAAAATTTACTTGGCAGGGCAAACCATTCCTTGCAAAATTACTTGGTATAAAAGGGGTTATGAAATAAATAATAACAAACTTCATGAATACTTTAATGTAACGCCCTATTGGACACATAACGCGTTGTCTTAAGAGTATAATCGAAAGTCAAAAGGGCTACGGTCAGAGAGGAAATAATTCCAAAAAGAACAATTCCAAACTGATATCTTCATCCTAAACAGTACAAATTTTCAGCATGCTCATCAGGTTTGAGATGGACCAACTGCTGCAACAAAGGGATTATCCCGCTCCAGTTAACATTCAGACACTTGAGTAGGACTATCTCATCATTGTACGCCTCTAACGCTGTAAATCTATTGAAGGTTCCATGCACATCCTAGGATTTAAATCACTTGGCATCTCTTACCTGTTGAAATCTTCCAAGGTCCCAAAAATGAAATTTAGCATCCATTGATAGCACGCCCATCAACTGAAAAAAAAGATATATTGAAAAATCAAGTAAAGCTCAGATTTGATACTTACAAAATCAAAGACAGTACTCACAATTCTTTTGTTCAATTTGCACAAAATTTTTCAAGATCCGTATTGTTAACCCAGAACTTCAATGAATGGTACCTGGTAAGCACCCAAATAGAGGAAACCATTAAATACTCAGTGGACATTTTTTTTGTTGGTGTGTGTGTTGGGGGAGGCGGGGATGCCTGCAACAGAAAGCATTTTCTTTCACAAAGGACACCACATTTTTTTAAATTTTACAGGGATACGAGGCCAAGAGAGGACAGATGAAGTTATGCGTTCAATCTCTCAGAAACTCCCACTGCAACTAACAGTGCTTCCACCAGCTGAAGCTGAAAAGTAAGGAAAATTCTGCCGGGAGTGAAATTTAGTGCTTTTAGAGGGTTAAAAATGGCATTTGGGAGCCTGTTTGAAGAGATTGCCTACAGCCCATAACATTAATTTTTTCACCAACATTTTGTCTTGTTTGATTTCTTCACCAACATATCTTTCCATTGCTGTAAATGTTTAAAAGCAGGTTCCCCTTTCATAGCTACTATAATTTAATTAATTTGTCGTTGCACCATTGATAGTAGGCAAACCTGGGAATAATGAATAGATATATATGTACCTTCACAATACAGTTGCCCAGCGTAAACCCTAATTTTCCTCAATTTTCACGTCTGAATGTCGCCCGTCACAACCTCGGAACACCAATTCAAATTATTCTTCATTTTACCTACGACTGGATCGGGCCGATCGCCCGACTCGATCACCTGAAACTAAAAACAAACACGTTTGTTTTTTAGGCGACCGAGTCGGGCAATCGGCCGACTACGCACCCCGCCCGTATCAGCATAATATTATATTTCTTTCATTGCGGCCCTTATCGCGTTCACGTACCGTAGAATCTTCGCATTGATAATTTCTCTAGATCTAGATAAATTCGCAAAAAAAGTTTCTTTCTCACAGTAATTTTCTGTCTAAGATCACAACTCAATTTACTTGATCAACGCGCAGATTTTCCAGCAGCGGCAACAATCCGAAGATAGACAGAAGGAATGAGTGAATGATAGAAAGGAGGAAAGTGGCACAGAAAGTTCACCAGATTTTGATCCATCTGCAGGTAAAAAATGTACTGCCGACCAACCCGCAATGAATGCACGGAGCACAGGAGAATAATGGCCAACTGAAGGAAATGAACAATCTGGCAGGTTTCTATAACATTAACCTATTGCCGAGAGAATTACCGTAAATATCCTTAACTTATACAAAACGATACGAAGGCGAGTACGGAATAATTTCAGCAGTCCTGCGCTGTCGCAGTTTTTTTTTACGGAGGGAGTTGATAATGATGGAGGAACAAGTACGGAACTGGCAGAAAGTATGGATTTCCGTAAAAATACGGAAGAGTGGAAGCACTGAACTATGCATAAGTGCAAAATTGTAACAAAAGGGCGATTTTTGCACAACTGTTACCAGCCATACACAAGAGTGTGAAGCAGGCACAGGAACATAAATCATGGCACCTGGACTTTCCATCATATTCTTATTTTTTTTCATCTCCTCTTATCACTCCTATCGTCTCACCACAGCTAAATATTCTGCCCACTTGTTTTTTTTTCTCTTCTCTGAGAAAACTCTGCGTTGAAGGTAGGTGAAGGAGCTTTAGCCCGGCAATTGGATATCTATGTCTATCAAAGACTCACCCGTGTATTTCTGCTGAGAGCCAATGCTCTCACCCTCAAAGCCCGATTGCAGGGTTTCACTTGGCATGGCTTTATCACAGAGTGTCCAACAGACCTAGAAGCTCCTACCAGTGAGGGACTCTGGTTGTTGACTCGCCATAGAGCCACTGTACTATCTCTAGAACCTGGTGAACGAGAATTATAGGATTATTGTAAACAGACATTGTACAATCCTTGACTCCCCAAACAAATTGTGGGTCATGTCAAATAATTTAAAGCAGAGAAACAAAATTGTATGCACACACACCACTATTCTTGAAAGAATGTCATATAATCTCATTTGAATTGGACTGCAAGGCCGGGATGCAAAAAAAATTCTAGATTTATTAATTAAGACAGCAGAAAAAAAAGTGCAGGTAATAGCTATTTGGGACTTTTCAGCTATTCAGTGGTGGAATTTTTGTCGACACCAGGGATTTCCCACCAAGCACCTCATCTCATTGTATTCAAGGGGTCAGCAGGCTGACATGGCTTTGGCTGAGGTGGTTAAATTTTTAGTACTTTTTAACATCAACTTTGAGGTAGAGTGAAGTATTCATAGTAATTATCATTTCAGACACTAAGGACATGAAATTTCGCTTTTATGGCTAAAAATTAAAAGACAGGAATTATTAACACCTCAGATTTTGTAGTAATGTTTGTAATGTGCTTTTGAGGTTGGCCAAGTTAAACAATGATTGGTATTTTGAGGGGGCAGCAAAAAAAATTAATATTTTTTTTAATGCCTGACAAATATTGCTATACTTTTTAATGTAGTTGTTTCTACGCCCCACAGAATTCTACACTTATAGAAGCGGAACTCCCTCTTCGCGATCGCCGATTCGCTGTGAGGAATTGAAACTAAAACATGGCGGCCAGTTGAGGGCACCTTTGGCTGCGCCGCACAGCGAGGCTTCGCGTTGCTATGCACGCTGATGCTAGTGGTAGGGCTTGGAAGACACCTTACATTAAGTTACATCAGTATTTTAAAACTTTCTTCGAAGAGGAAATATAGTGAAATAGTCTAGTACATTTTTACTGCCAACAATATGTCATAATTGGCAATGTTACAATGTTTTTGTATCTGTATTGTTGGTTTGTTGTTGTTTTTTTAATGATGGGATGGGATCTAGATCTAGATCTCTAGATCTACTACTAAATCTAGATCTACTAAAGATCTTCACAATCACAATACACTTGATAATAACACTAATTATGAACATTAACTCTGTTGGAAAAGTATCTAGATATAGTCTTGATTAGTACTAGATCTACGATTGGAGAATGTGTCGGTTGCACATAAAATACATAGGCCTATTGTACATGCTGCCAAAAACACAAAAATGCAGAAAAGGCCTCAAAATATTGGTTTACACATAAAAGCCAATAATGCAAAACAAAGTAAACAAGAGTGGAACTGGCATATGTTTCCTGAATATATGTTCAAAGTCATTTTCTGTGTGTTGGGAGTGTGATTTCTAATGCATGAATGAGAGGCTCATTCAGATGTGATAATGAAGAAACTTGTGTCTACAGTCACAACAGAAAGAGTTCCATGGCGAGTGATCACTGGTCAAGGATTTCAGAGCTGTGTGCATTTTGAGAAAAATGTATCCCCATACTCTGGACTCTGGATCACATGTCGAGGGGATGGGCTTGTCCCCCTGTAATCCCCGCACACAGTAAACAAACACATATTTTGGAACACGAACAAGAAAAAATAAGTGGTCTGTTGTTACGGATCAAATTGAAGTCCTGTTTCAATTCGATTAATTGATAAAAGTGCGTATCGCAATGCGTTGGCCACCCCTGCCCTATAGGCCTATATGCTATTTAATAAATACATTCGTCAGACCTGGAATCTTTAATGCCCGCACACAGTAAACAAACACACATTTTTAAACACGTATAAGAAAAAATAAGTGTTGTCTTGTTACGGATCAAATCGAAGTCCTGTTACAATTCAATTAATTGATAAAAGCGCGTATCGCAAGGCATCGGCTAACCCAGCACTATTACGCTATTTTATAAATACATTCGTCAGATCTGGAATCTTTAATCTTTAATTTTTAATCCCCGCACACAGTAAACAAACACACATTCATGAACACGTATAAAAAATAAGTGGCCTCTTGTTACGGATCAAATTGAAGTCTTGTTACAATTCGATCAATTGATAAAAGTGCGTATCGCAATGCGTTGGCCACCCCTGCCCTATAGGCCTATATGCTATTTAATAAATACATTCGTCAGACCTGGAATCTTTAATGCCCGCACACAGTAAACAAACACACATTTTTAAACACGTATAAGAAAAAATAAGTGTTGTCTTGTTACGGATCAAATCGAAGTCCTGTTACAATTCAATTAATTGATAAAAGCGCGTATCGCAAGGCATCGGCTAACCCAGCACTATTACGCTATTTTATAAATACATTCGTCAGATCTGGAATCTTTAATCTTTAATTTTTAATCCCCGCACACAGTAAACAAACACACATTCATGAACACGTATAAAAAATAAGTGGCCTCTTGTTACGGATCAAATTGAAGTCTTGTTACAATTCGATCAATTGATAAAAGTGCGTATCGCAATGCGTTGGCCACCCCTGCCCTATAGGCCTATATGCTATTTAATAAATACATTCGTCAGACCTGGAATCTTTAATGCCCGCACACAGTAAACAAACACACATTTTTAAACACGTATAAGAAAAAATAAGTGTTGTCTTGTTACGGATCAAATCGAAGTCCTGTTACAAATCAATTAATTGATAAAAGCAAGTATCGCAAGGCATCGGCTAACCCAGCACTATTACGCTATTTTATAAATACATTCGTCAGATCTGGAATCTTTAATCTTTAATTTTTAATCCCCGCACACAGTAAACAAACACACATTCATGAACACGTATAAAAAAATAAGTGGTCTCTTGTTACGGATAAAATTGAAGTCTTGTTACAATTCGATCAATTGATAATAGTGCGCATTGCAATGCATTGGCTAACTCAGCATTATACGCTATTTAATAATACATTCGTCAGATTTGGAATCTTAAATTATAATCATAATTATATGTGCCAGCACGGGGGAAGTGAAAGTGAAAGGAATTGAAAATGCTTTCAAAAACAAAAACATAATTAAAGTAGGACTACATGTGCTTATAAAGGCTCAAAAAGGTGTATGGATGCGGAAATTAATGTTTCGGATGAAAATAATACGCTTTCTTCACTACTGTAGCATGCGGTCAAAAATTTGATGCGCAACTTTATTATCAAATATCTAGATCTAGGCTACTGAACTATCAAACACCTTGATCTAGATTCTCCTACTTTTACACAATGACTTAGATCTATATCAATTCGTCTTAACCGATGAGTATTTTTTTCAAACATTTGTACACATCTATAGGTTCTATATTATTCTAGAAATTTCTTTAAAGAAAATTCTTTAATAAATACTAGCCCAATATATAAAAAACAAAATCCCAGTCAATGGTTTCTACAGATTTTTAAAAAGTTTATAGCTGGAGCTAAATCTCTTTTAAAAGCAAGTCCGTCCTTTTTTCTACTTCTGCTGGTGACATAAAGCTAATTATTGAACGCATGTTTTGAGAACATTAATAAGATCTAGTGAAAAAATATGTTCAGTGTAAAACAAATTTATTGTAATAAGTTTTACTACTAAAAAACTACGAAGGCCATATGCGTATGCAAAATGTGTGTGGGAAGCTAGAAGTGCTATGAATTTTTTTCAGTTCTGTAGATCTTATATATATAAACTCTGTATGTCTGCTTTTTCTGTTGTTGCACTCCAAAACACAACAATTTAAAACCTTAATTCCAATCTCTAGTCGCACAGTGAATTCTGTAACTCAAAATTACAAACTGGACAGTAAATGTTCCACTTTTCACTCGTTTGTAAAAGCCGCTCTTGCTTTAAAAGCTATAGGGTTACTTCCGAAAACGATAAATAGTGCCCTCAAGACGCCATTGTTTTCGGTCTTCAATTGCTCACAGGTCACGTGGTACAGTTCCCGTTCTATAAGTGTAGAATTCTGTGCTACGCCCCCATCCACACAATTTACATCATATAGGGGTGGGCTTCTGACTGACCCTGAGAGAAATACATTGTCTCAGCAGAAGGACTGAGATAATCGAACTCGAGTCTAGTGTGTGTGACAGCACACCACCTAACCGCTAGCAACACAGATGCTGATGCCATACTTTGGTAACAAGAAAGACAGAATATAAGTGCAAACACCCATATATATGTGTTTATATCTCCCAGGCATCTTAAAAAAAAGAGAACCCACTTAAATGGCAATAACTTGCTTATCCTTGCAGCCTTGCACAAATTTTAATAAAACTTCACAGAAATGAAAATCAAACAAGGGGATGTCACATTGGTCGATATGAAAAAATCTATGTATTTCTTTAAAAAATATATGATTTTCTCAATTGCAACCAAAATTTACTGAAACGCAAAACTTCGCAACTTCTTAAAAATCAAACATATCATTCTATTTCAAATTGTTGCTATTTGTGCATTGAAGAAAAAATTAATACAGAAATGATATTGCTAAAAAGATTCAAGGAAGGAGTCCGCTATCTAAATCTCCAGGTGTAGATCATTTCTTTCCACACAAACTCCAAAAAGCCACAGAAAATTTTGAACAACTGTGTGGCATGTTTCTGGGTCGATACTTTGGACGTTGTGTTTAACATTGAGTTTGTTCGATTGTTTGCAGGTTGTTTGCCTACACTGTTTGTCCAAAAAAACAAAAGTAATAACTGAAGAGGTTCAAAATGGGGGAGGGGGGGGTGTGGATGTGGTAACCATTTATTTGTAAATTTCGGTTTACAAGGCATTCCAAAAACCTTTCTTGCAACTATATCAGGGCCACTCTTGATGAGTGGATTGTGGCCCCATCCCACTGGAACCAGGCCTGTACAGCATAACACATTCTCCAAAACTTTCTCAGCACGTTCAGATATCTGTCTGAGGTGACTGTTGTGGTTTTACCATCCTTATCCTGAAACCAGAATGGGCCGCTCACGAACCTGTAGCTGAATGCTTTTAAGCAGTAAAATTTCGCTTTTTACCCAATTCCGGTTGAAATTTGTTATTTTGATATTTCTCGAAAACGATGATTCATTTTCTTCATATTTATAAACTTGATGTCTTCATGGTTGAATTTTATTTGTCAGAACTTTTGTTGAAATTAGCTTAGAGATGGCCAAGTTATTACTCTTTAGGTGGGTCTGCTTTTGTTTTAGACACCAAGTACTTAGATAATAGGAAGCCGTACTACTGCATATTTATGCACCGTGTACAAAATGTGTGTGGTGTCTTTCTTGATGCACTATACGACATAGTTTATGGTCAAATACAATATCTCTCTCTCTCTCTCCTTCCCTCCCTCCCCCTCTATCGTTATACTGGGAAGTACGCACTTGAGCCCCACTTATTTTCTGTCCAAATTCTACCTTTCTTCCTGAATTCAGTTGCAACGATCTAAACAGATTTGTGGTTTCCTTTGTGACCGTGTGAAAAGACACTGCATTGATAGTACTGCAGAGACTTGACAGTTTGGGAACTAATACAGAACGTTTAACATGTACTAGGTCTTTTCGGTAAGTGTTTTACAGCGCTCGCAAATGCATAAGGTCATATGAGCACGCACGACACATTAAACGTTTCAGGTCCGTAGGAAATTTTGAATTTTGTCCAGGTGGCGGCCGAAGCCTACTCTTATCAATTTTAGACGACCACAAGGGATCTTTAACGTGCGCAACTTGCACACGGGACCTCAGAGATTTTTCGCCCTAATCCGAGAAGGCTAGGTGTAGATCTTTCCTACCAGAAGACCAGGGGTGCGGCTGAAAGACAGCAGTAAGAAGGAGCGAAGGAGTAGCAGTAGAAAGGCTGCAGTAAGAGTCAGGGGCCCAGAGGAGGGGACAAAGAAAACGAGAGGGTGGGGGCAGAAGGTGGAGACGAAAGCAGACGACAGAACATTGCTAGAGAGCAGGAAAGGAGGTGAAAGGAGACAATTTTGAGCAGAAAACTTTTCCCGTCGCTACCCAGATTCGAACCCGGGACCTTTGAATGAGAGGAGAACACATGAACCTCTAAGCTAGGCCACGAGAGCCCCCATGCTGACTTCGAAAAGAGCAATGGAGCCTATTTCGAATAAATATTATTATTAAAACGACAGATTAGGCATTCACAAACTGTCTTCAAAATGCCAAATGACAGCTCCAAAGCAGGACAAATCACAAGTCATTGAGTTTTCAGTCCATAGTCCTTGTGGTTTGTTGTGTAAGATGGGCAAAGAGTTAAATTGCTTCAAATACTGGCAAAAATTAAAACTTGACAACCACAACAGGCAAGTGCATCTCCACGCCAGCTGAACCCGATAACCCTGAGCTGTGAGGCAACTGAAGCTGACAAGTCGTGTCACATTACCGGGGCGGGTGGAAACCGTGTACAGAACATTGGTATGTGCTATATGGACCAGAAAAAGTAAGTGGTAGCTCAGGTACTGGATTTGGAGACTAAGAAAAGCATCCTTTCAAAGACGGCAAATATTACATCCAAAGAATGAATTATAGTGACCTGATGCTTTCCGTAGATGAAAGATATAATTGAATAAATATAAACATGATAATCACTCAAACATTTAATACCTAATACTAATAATAACCTTTCAATCAAAATGTCTTTAGTTACAATTGTCTAGAAACCAACCTGTTACTATATGTTCATCATCAACCCAGTCCATGTCAAAAATCCAGTCTTTATGTGCATCCTGTGAAAGTCAAAAATATAAAATATATGTATACAGTCGGAACTGTCTAAGACGGCCATTCATTGTCGAGAAAAAAAGTGGCCATATTAGAAAGGTGGCCGTTTAACTCAGTATCATGATAATGTAAAAAATACGCAAGGGAAGAAATGGAAAGTGTCCGTTAGTACAGATGATTGTTTTATACAGGCGGCCATTACAGCAGGTTCGACTGTATTTACACTTAAGGACTTAATTCTTATTTATACGTACAAAAAGATTTAAGAAAACGCAAATCTAGAATTAAAGAATAAGAAACACAATTTCAGAGACAAATCTAAAAAAAAAAACAAGTAGTGTCTTGCAGCTTTCTAAAAAAATACAGTCAAAACCTGCCTTTACAATTTTAAAAAAATGGTTGAGAAAAAAAAGCAGCATATGCAAGCAAAAAGTGGTGAAAAAGTGTTTTGAGAAAAACAAGGTTAAATCGAAAATGTTAGTACATAACTTAGAGCCCAATAAAATTGAATTCTGTTAATGTTAATCACTCAATGACTAGTGTCAATAAAATCTACACTGAATGAGGGACAGGAAAATACCAAAAGTAAAAAGTGCTAAGAGTGAGTGAAAATCAGTCCCCAAGGCCCTGGACCCAACCTGCGAGGTCCCTTAAAATCAGAACATTCAAAACATTCTTCATTAGAAAATTTTAAGAACCATGTTCTTTTACAGTGGCAAAAAAAGGCATCAGTAGCCCAGTGGTCAGGCTATTAGACATGTAATCATAAGATTGCAGGTTTGGGGTTTAAGCTCAGCTCGGTCTAACGTTGTGTCCCTGGGCAAGGCAATTTACATACTTAATTTCCTACTTGGCTCAGTTCTTTCTCAGAGATGAACGTTAAACTCGGAGGTCTCATCTCTTTAACAAATTAATAATGTTGTTAGAGGTGTTAACCTATACCAATCCACATTTTTCAGAGGCAAAGGGCAAATTCAAAGTCAGAAAAATAAATACTCGAAAAAAAAGAAAGAACAAGATATTTTAAAATATGACCCAAAATTGCGAATAATTATTTTAAAAGCTATTTTTAAATAACTTCTAAACATAATTGATTGAACCAGGCGCTTGAAACTTTAAGGGGAATGAATTTAGGTTTCAAAAATGGAGAAAAAATGTGTGGTCAAACTGGGTAAACATGGGGAAAATTTCACCCGCAGATGGCCTTAAGGAAATAGATACATCACGCTTATAGGTGAAGTTTTTTTACAATTTATAAGAATGAAATAATAAAAGACAGGTTATAGTTAAAGAATATATATGGCATCAATAGAAAATCTACAAATTTGACCCTAATGTCGATTTTTGGCCAATACCTCCATATGAGGATTGCGAGAAGTAACTCATTTTGTCAGCACACCTCACAATTTAAAATTACCCCACAAACTGCTATGCCAATTTCTGCTTACATGCAATCAAACTTTCACAAAGGGGGAGCATATGAACCATGCACACTCTATTTCGTGTTATTTTTGTTGAAATCTAAGACCTTACAAGACACAATGTGGGACATTTCCACACAAAAAGTGTGTTGTTCCCCATCATGACTTGGAAGGCGCAGGAAAAATATTAACAGAAGGACTAGAAAAATTCTCGATTCCACACCTTTTGATCTACATCTAAAAAAGGTCAAGTTGGCCCCCCTTTTCGACCTATGTGATCTATGGCGCTACTTTCAACCTTTATTAAATTATTCTTTGCAGGGGGGGGGGGGGGGGGATGTTAGTGTCCTTATATCTCCCTCTCTTCTAAGTTACCACCACAATTTTTAATGACCCTGAGAAGCCCATGAATATTCCTCCAATACTTCTGTGCCAGCAAACAATAATTTTATTTTGAACTTTTAGGGGGGGGGGGGGGGGGGGGGGGGGTGCGCGCCAGCAGGAGCCCCTAGAAAATTTCCAAGCAATTATCAAAATACAAGTTTACTATACCAGTCCACTATTTTGTCTGTTTTGACTAACTTATTCACATGTCCAGGGCAGCAACATGGATCAAGGAGTCATGAAAACACTGGTGGAGGGGCCATACTTTACCTATAGCTTTAACTTAAACTTCAGTAATGCTGCTATATTTGAAAGTACAATTTTCCGTAGTCAATGAATCTGAAGCACATAAAATCCCAATAACCACACACACACATGTATTAAACACTCAACCATCCTCAAATTGTACACAAAGAAGCTTGTATCCCTGTGGTCAATTTGTTCCCTGTTACATACCAATACCTTTGCAGAGTCAGAGAGTATGTATTTACTGATGACTTACGCAAAATACTGACACATTTTTTTCCCTTACAAAAGCACCTGAGTATGGCAAAATGGCTTGAGAGAGATTTCTTAGTTCTGCCCCTAGAAGTCTTGATCAATGCCTTGTCTTCTCAAAGTCATTCAGCCCTAAGCCTATATCGCAAATTTTAATCCTTCCTCCGCTAACACCAAATGACTTTCATCATCAAGCGCTACTTTTCAAAATGGCCTTGTAAGGCCTACTTTTCTTCATCTTTCAACTACCAACATTTCTTCTACGAGCCCAACATGCAAACTGGACCTCCCAAGATTTTCCTGTAATGCACAAGACTAGATGCTCTTTTGTGCTCAACCTAGGATCAGGAGGTTAAAAAGAAAACCCAAAGAAAACCAACCCAGGTACAACAATAGCAGTGTAAACCAGGAAATAAATAAGAACTATTGCAAGGCCCGAATACCTTACATGCAATAGAACAGGGCTCCTACTCATTGCAAACAGTCACCTTGATACAATAAAAGACACATACCTCTCCAACACATAAGGCATCAAAAGTAGGCAGCTCATACACAGCCAGGTCATTGGTGTTTTGAGCCCCAGTGGCCAGAAGTGTGCGAGATGGGTTGATTGCAATAGCGTGTATGCCACAGGGGCAGTCTGCAGGAACACTGTCCTCACTGCTACGTAGAGAAGGGATGTGAACTAAATCGTTGTTACGCACATCCATCACCATCAACTGAAGAAAAACAGTACAAATGAAACTGCTTGGTTTACCTTCGGCGGCGGCCGGGGGGGGGGGGGGGGGGGGGGGGGGGCGGCTTATAAACAGAAAATCATCATAATCATAATATATTGCAAAGGTACACAGATAAATGTTTGACAACAGACATGTGTTGAACACAAAACTATAAAAGAAAATAAAAACACATCAGCTCGAAATATGTACAGAGACTGAGTATAAAAAAGAAAAAAAACATAAACCGGGGCCATACCTTGTTGCACTTGGTTCCTAACACAACTTGTGAATCATTCAACCACTTTGAAGCAAACACTTTGTTCATGGTTCCAAGAACCAATTCTTTTTCAGAAAGAATTGCAGGTAGATGCTGTGAGACAAAATCTGGGAGCTGCTTTCTCAAAAACTGACTTCGACTTTGGGAGTACCTGCTTCTTCCACGAAACCCATATTGTCTGTCTTGAAGAAATGACACAACATCCGAAGACAAAGGCCTCGCAATGTCATTTAGATGTAAAGCACAACTTTGTCTCCGTTTGCGTTTTGATTCTCTACAGTTTTCTGAAACAGAGTAAAAAGGCAAACAACATGAGACAGAAAGGATATAAATTGTTTGTTTGGGGTCATTAAGCATCATTCTCGACGGCAGTGCAAAATTATAATCTATATAAATTGTGTGGTGATATTCCTCTAAAAAATAAAATACACAACAATTATTCACACTGTTGGTAGAAAAGCCTAAATTCAGCTAACCTTACGACCTGGCACATAATAATTTGGTAAAGCAAGAAACTTTATCAGTTACAGGAAAAAAGTCATGTATCAGTGAAGTACACAGAGGGTATCACTTCACAAGCGAAGGTCTATTAGCTCAAGTATGTGTTTTGGAACAGAAACACGAGAGACTTTCATTTTTCTTGGTGGTTTTTATACATCACTCTAATAATTTATCTGAGGATGTGTTGTACAGCCAATCACAGTGAATCAGGTAGATTTGCCTCAATCTCCTATCCTCCGTCATTAGACACTAGCCTCTGGAAGAATTAAGTCTTTAGTCTTTATGGTCTTCTACTAATTTCTGTTTTTTCTTCCTGTACTGAGAATTGGAATGCAGAGATTTTCAAGGTTGACTTTGATTGCTTTTGATTTCATATACATTAACAACAACCTGTCTTATCCTTCCCAGACAATGGCCTGACCAGATATCTCCAGCGTAAATAATTTTGTGTTTCTTTTTCTAAAAGTAAAGAGAGACACATTGACACAGTATAGTTATATAGTTAGGGAAAAGCATGATTGATAAACAAAAACATCAGAGGGAGAGTAAAAAAATAGCACATGATACTAACCCAGGAGTAATTTGTTCAGTTGTATGAACTTTATTATACTTTATATGTGCCAGTGGCAGGCAGGTGCTCTGGTGTATTTTGCTCCTTCTTTCCTATCAAATATCTTCTTTTTCGTGTTTGTTAATCCTTAGTAACACCTCAGATCTTAGGCACCTATATATGACCCAACACTAACAGTGTTGCATGGGCCACAAAACTTTACTAAAACAAACTTTATATCGATTGAATACATCAATGACTACAGTATTGTAGGATCTCAAGTAAGCTGTGCTGCTTTTAATTGTTTTTAAACATCTCATGAGCAGCGTCAGTCAATATTTTACGACTTCCGTAATTTAGATCAAGTTGAGTCATTTCAAAGTACCAAAAAAAAAACTACAACTTTTTTTGTCAATATTTTCCTACACACTATAGTTTTGCATTTCAATTTTGTACACAACATTTGGAATACAAAAGGGATTTGTCTGATATTCATTTTAGATAAATGCACGGAATAGTTTTGGTCTACATAGCGCGTCAAACAAACGACCCATTTTCAGCTATGTCCCCATTTTTGTAGCATGACGCACAAGTTTGCATTAGGCTAAAACATTTTAAAATCCTAACGATTGCTCTTTACTGCAAACTACAGTAGTCTAACAGGCCAACAGAGGTTTGCAGATAGCTTTTCTCAAGTTTTCTTTGCCTGCTTATATCATGGTTAAGATTAGTAAAGAGCAGAGAGCTTTTTGTATCAAACACTTCCTCATCATCAACTCATTTCGTAAGTTGCACACAAGGTGCGGCAAAAATGCTAAAGTGCCCTTAAGGCCTTCTTTGATGTCAAAGGTGGAAATGGTCCATCAGTTAGGACCTGTAGAGAATCAGAACTAAAATCCCCTTTAAGTCACCAGGGTGCAGAATTCAGTAGATGGGCCCCGTGAAACGTCTGCCCGTAGACGATATCTGCAGCAAGGGCTTTCCTACATCTTAACAGTCCGCATTCTCAAGGCAGATCTTCATCTACGACTGTAAATTATTGATGGTCGAGGTATCATTTTCCCGGTCTAGAAGCTATCAGAGAATAGCAATGTTTTCATGATTCCTCGATCGTCTTGAAAAGCAAGAACATTTCCTCTACAACATTTGGTTCCTTGACAAAGCTCATATTCACATTTTACGTTATATCAACTCTGCAAACTCTGTCTATTTGGGCAGCCACCCCCCCCCCCCCTATTGTCTCTAGAAACAGCTCCATACTATAAGGTGTACAGTGTGTGTGGCTAATCGGCTATGGGTACTCACGGTTGAGTGGATCTTTGTGTCTGGCCTCCACTGAACATTACGAATGACGCATTAAAATGTGTTGAGTCCAAAGGGGACATAATATATAGACCATTCAAATTCAAGAATTTAAAAAATATTTTATCAACTCTGTAAGAGAAAAGAATTATTTATTAAAGGTTACAGGGATGTAAAAATTATATTTTAAAAATAATAGGAAAGTAAAAAATATATCATTTCATGACTTTCCTTACAAGATCTTTTAAATTGGTGCATTTTGCATTTATAAGTGATTTTTATAAAAGCCATTTCTGTTTTCGAAACATTTTGTGAATTTATGTTTTTAAAAAACCCTTTTAAAAGAATTATATCTGTTCCAAATTACAGTACAACATTCTAGTACAAATGCTGTGTGAGATATTTAGAAAAAAAGCTTGTACAGTTGGTTTTTTATCACCCTGTACTTTACAAAGTTCTGGTGCAGAATCAGTGTGAGAGTGCTCACTTCTATTTCAGAATAACTGGGCACAAGTGTTACCCATTTTATTCATTTCAAACAGTCCTTTTATTCAAATGATAATTTAATACATAATAATTTAACAGGAAAATAAGGAAATTTCCATCTGACAAATCAAAGAATGAAAAATAGAGTCCTTTAACTTTGTGGCAGACTAGCCAGAGGGTCACTAGCCCTTGATATGTAAGCCTTGAGTCTTATTTTGAGGTATTGCTAGTTGTGCAGCATCTTGAATACAATCTATAGATCAGCTGCAAATTAAAGAATGCAATACAACAAAACTTTTTACTAACGAAAAGGCTTGTAGAGTCGCTAATGTCTCATAATTGAAGAAAGTAAGTAAAGAACATGAACAGTTATACTATAGATTGCAGGTGATTGTGCCATGACACCGAAAAAGAATGTGATCCTCAAACATTGTCAGCTGGCCATAAAAACCCTTTCCATAGCAAACAAAAAGAGATACTTGCCCTTGTGTGACACTTCAACAGTGAGCATGGACAAACAATAAGCAGTGGGTGAGCCAGCTCAAAATTTGTCCCTATTCCAGTGCTTCTTTTTGCCAATATTTGACGAATACCTATGCTACATATATTTCAAAACTGCAGACAGTTTGTTAAATTTGGTTGCAAAGAAAATATATTAACCAATTTTACTACTCACTGTCATCAGCAGGAGAATTCTGGTCTTCTCCACTATCAGAGTTGAAGTAAGACCTGAGTTGATCAACAGCCATGCCTAATTCATTATATCTTTCTTGAATATCTTGCACCAACTGCCGTTGACTTTCACGTAGTCTGGCTATTCCCATGTGGGTGCGGCGAATAAGTTCTTCTGGACTTATATTGTCCATCTATATCTCTGATCTGAAATAGAAGAGAAAAAAAAGTATTGCTTTCATTATAAATAACAAAACAAATAATTGAAAATACGGAAGTCAGAACCTCTCATATTTTACAAGTGATTACCAGGCTAATTGCAGTTTTAGAAAGTCAAAGGATTCTAATAGTATTTTACATCTCTCTAATTCTCATCTGTGACATGGTCAAACTTGTAAGATGATTTTAAAAAGATGAAAAGCTTTAATTATAAACTTGAAGAACAATCAAGGGACCATCAAGAAATCAGCAGTACAAGAGAGCTTCTGTATTTTTTTCTTCCATTTCATATTTCTCCTTTTCATATTGCACCATGGGCCTCCAGGATAGCATTTCATGCTCCTAAATGTTCAATGATTATAAAAACAATATCTGGTCAGTTATATTTACAGTGAGACTTTACTTTAACATTTTGAGCTGATACCCATGCAGAAGGATTGTTGCTTGCGTAGCAATAACATCAGAATATTAAATATTTTTATTGTTTTGCCCCCATTTTGTTTGAACATGATGTAAAGTATGCTGTTGGAAAAGCTTTTCCTTTAGACCACTGTTACTTTAGAACAACTGATTTTTGTCCCCTTTGTAAGGGTTTTAACTTTTATTCTCTTCTTAATTTCTACCTGGACTTCCAATTGATCAACGATTTTGTCTTTCTCGTCAAATAAAGCCGGTTTGGACTAACCTACATACTGTAGCTTACACCCGCTGATTGTGCATGCGCAATGCAGTTTGAGTACGAATAGCCACGGGAGGCTATTCAGACTCGAGTCCGAAGAGCTGCAGCCATATTATAGTCTATGCCGGCTTTCGCGGTCATCGGGAGAAAGCATAAATAAGCCTGCTCAATGCCGAAGCGTGCTTGAGTGTGAAGTAAACATAATCCAGAAATTTTCATGTATAATATTTTCTGTGCTATTTCCTTTTGTTTGTAAGTAGGCCTATGGTAGTCCCGCAAAAGTGTGCACTGTTTTTACCTGGCATGGTAGTTTTCATTTTTGTTTGTTTTGTGGACGAATGGGAAATGAAACCTTAATTTAGACGGCCATTCACAATACAGCACACGCAGCCAACCACTGCCTTCATCCCCCCAAAGTCTTTGATCCCACCTCGCACGTGATACCAAATCAGGATTATCGAATAGCAAGGGGTAATGAGGTGAAATCGCAGCCTGCTTTCTTTTCTCGTCTCCCTAACTCTCTTACTCTTCGTATTTTTTTTTGTCTGTGCGAAGCTTTGCCCAAGGCTAGATCCTATGTCCACGTGCGCGGCTGTGCACATCTCTCTGCCTTCCTCTCCGCGCATGTGTGTGTGTCCATCACTTGCGTTCTTTGTGTTTCACTGCTGTGGTGTAGACTGTGTTCAAACTTTGAAGGGTCATCTTGAAAGTATTGACTGTCTTGTAAATGAAGCGTGCCCGAAGCCGAAGTTACTGTGTTTAAAGGTGTGTAATTTATATAGCAAAAATTCTGTAACAGCTGTTCAGTTAGCGTGCTTTTGAGTCCAAAACATGCTTTAAAAAGTCAGCACGGACTGTAATATAATTTACCTCTTTACACTCACATATATAATAACACAGTAAGTTAGAAGCAGAGTCTGAGTTTATAAATAATAAAACATTTTTTTCGAACTCGAGTCCAAATAAATTAAAAAATCTCGGACTCAATCTATTTTAAAATCTCTATCTTGCAGTATAGTACTATAGTAGGTCCAGTAGTTAATATTAATAACAATATAGAAATTGTGTAGTATGTTAAAAAAGTCTAGGCTAAGTGTTCGTAGTGTAGTTGCAAGTGAAGTCTTCACCTGCTTCAGTCCCCACTCACCTGAGCCTGAGTTTCTCAGTCCTAAATTTGATCTGCTCGGTCTGCTCTGACCTCTACCTTACACTTCGAGAGCCTGAAGAAAGCCTTTAAGAAGGAGACTGTACTGGATATAATTCAAGTTTTAGTCTAATAAAAATGGTAATTACTGTTAAATTTAAGGCCGGCACTATTTCTCCGAATGTTCGGGAAAATAAAGCAGGGCACTATTTCTCTGAACGTCCGGGAAAATAAAGCTGGGCACTATTTCTCCGAACGGTCGGGAAAATAAAGCTGAGCACTATTTCTCCGAACACTCTGAAATCACATCTTTCCTGCAAATGTCGGATACATATTAGATCTATAATCATATTATAGGCCTACCAAAGATTGTTCATATATACAATATGGTTCAATCGGTCCAAAAAATGACCGCAGTAAATATTTATATAAAGAAATGCTACAGTTCCAAACAGTTTTTCGCTACAGATATGACGTGTTGCCTAAGAAGGGTGCTGCTCTTAAACTTAATGTGTTGTGTTCACTCTTGTGCTGTCTAGATCTAGATCTACGGAGGGTTATTGATAACAACACATAGAACTAGCATCTGCGTTTGTAGCGGCCGCGACCAATCAATCGTGGCTCGATTTTTTGGCATTCTTTGGTCCCCGAATCGGGGAATGAAAGTAAAAAAAAAAAGAAACCGAACCTCTTTACTTTTGAAAGAAAGCAGTGGCGTCGCATGGGTTGCAGACAAAGTGGTGCATAATTGGAAAGTGAACAAATGGGCAATAGGCTTACTTGATACTATTAAAATTGTAATGAGCGGTTGGCAGGCGCTCTGATGTAGTCTGCTCTTTCTATTGTTTTCTGCGAGTCTCTCTGTGCGTGTTTGTGTGTGTGTTTGTGTGTGTGTGTGTGTGTGCGCGTGTGCGTGTGCGTGTGCACATGCGTGTGTGTGTGTGTGTGAGTGAGAGAGAAAGAGAAAGAGAGAGAGAGAAAGGCAAAGAGAGAGTGAGTATGTCTGATCGATCAGTAAAAAGCAGACTTGTAATGAAAACACTACAATTTCTTTTACTTATCATACTACGTACAGGAAAAATGCGAACATTTCTTGAGCTCAAAATCCCGCGGCAGATGAGGACCAAGCTCTTTTTATGCGCAATTTCTCTTCTAACTGTAGCCTGCTGAATGGCACAAGAAGCAAAGCGTTAACATGATTCATCTAGATTTCTAGAAAAAGTCAGTTAGAATCAGCAGGATATCCCGTAATCTAGATCTATCGATATTTACAACTGTTTCTAGATGAAACCACATAAAAGCTGCAATAAGTGAAACAATACTAACAACTCACTATGCTCACAATCTGAGAAGATTTAAAGATTTCTAATTACTTCGTGCAGCACCAACAACCAGACTCAATTTGAAAATTGACCTTAACAGGCCTTGCTACACAATAGAGGGCGACAACAGTTTCGACACCCATTTTTCATTGAGCTACCGTAGACTCTACTAGTCTACTAGTGTAGTAGATAGGCCAGCAGTAACTTGGATCAAATTTTTAGCTTATATACCAAATTGGTGCTGCGAACAGGAATTTCATGCACCTTTCTTCTTGTGCGGGAACGACGATGCATAGATTTCTCTACAGTGACAAAAATAACTTTGATGCAAAGATTTTGCTTGCTTCCAGCAGACACTACCGCAAGCGGTGCGACAAGCAGAAACCATCCTCGCTGTCTGTCTCTTCACCCACTGGAGCGCGCAGCCAGCGGGTGACGGGTCGCAAGGACGTAGGCTAGACTACTAGTACTAGTAGGTAAATCTAGAGCACTGACTGGTTTAGAACAATTAAAAAATGGGGGAGGTGAAGGCCAGGGTTAGGTATAGCGCATGCACCAATTGCACCAATGGCGCCCCGCCACTGAAAGAAAGTTCACTTGGCTTCACTTCGTCTCTATCTCACTTGTCACCACGTTTATTTGTTGAATACGTTACAGTTACATATGATTTGTATTGCTGTTTCTCTTTTATTTTTCCCTCTTTGTGGTGTTTTATTTTGTTGGTGTGTAAATTTTTTTTCTTGTTATTGCTCTGATGTGTCGTTTTTCTATTAATTTTTTTTTGTTGGGGAAAGGGGGGGGGGTATGTTGTATAGTGTAACATCATATAATTTGATGTTCCTACCTTCATTGGATTCTAAATATATATATACATGTATATATATAGATTTAAATGTGTTATCTTTGAGCGTTCCACCAAAACCGATTCACGGCGTCACTTTTCGCCCTATTCTGTTACTTTTAGTTCGTGTGATTCAGCAGCCCACCGGAGCTCTCCGGCTCGGGGTTACAGGGTTAATGAGCCCAGACGTGACTTTGCCGGTGTCGGTTAAGAAGTTCGCATTTTTGACTATGTTTAAAACGATATAACTTCTTCCCCATCCCCCATAGCAGACCATTACGCGGATGTACTAAAAGCTCAATGTCTAGAGATTTATTCTGCGTTAGACAGGATGGTTAATTTCTGTGCCTTAGTTTTTGTTCTAGACAAGTGTTTGTAGAGTACCCAATTTGTCCTATTTTAGTTACAAACTTATGAATAAATTATTGTTAATTTAAAAAAGGCACGACAGATCTCTCCAAAATCTGTGTTAAACTGACTACGAATATCATGACTTTTACCATGAGAAATCTTAAATCTGCGCGAGTAGTATTTAGTCAAGTTAGAAGAGAAGAAAGATGCACATCTGCATTTTTTTGACTAAAGACGATCAGCGTAAGCTCTTATTTTACTATTAAACAAGAGAAAGTTACTCTGCATTTGTTCATGAATCATGCTGTGTCTGTGGCAGCCTGCATACAACCAAAAAGATATAATATAGAATCTAAGCGATTAAAAAACCACAAAATCGTGTAAATACATGGGTACAGGTAAACTTTTAGTACGGAACAAAAATAATGACAGCTAACACATTTATTTTTAGTTTTTGTGTCGGAAGTATGCGTGGACACAATTATGAATGTAAAGAAATCAGTCACATTGTCAGTTATTATTGCAAATGGTCATAGAAACGAAAAATAAAGCTGGAAAAGTCTGGTGCTGATTCAGTGTCCCTGGAAAGCTAGAAATTATTCTTATTAACCCAATTACGAGAAGTCATCCCTATTATTCTGTCAACTTACA